CCCCCCCCCCCCCCCCTCTAAGTTGATCCCAAATGGCCTGACATTTTTTTGGATTGTAGGTTGCCAGGCCGTTGACGTTAATAGAACGGAGATCAAGGTCTGCCGTTCTAACGCATTGTTTCCGGGCCGGATTTCTACAATATAGTGTATCTAGGTCAGTCATTTGTGGGTGTTTTTTGTGGTGTGTTCACAGGGGGTGCCATTTTTTGGTGTCCCATGTGTCTAGAAGCAGGACTTTCCTCCGTAGGATTCTACACAGGCATCTGCACACATCATCTTCAGCCCAATATTCCCCGGACTTAACCTTTGCACACTGAAAATCAAGCAGTGCGGTGTGGCTGGACCAGCACAGATTGGCCGTTTTATTGGGTTCGAACAACAGGTACAGGTCGTTCCTCGCCATCTGCATGTCACTATCCACAAATCTCACCCCCGCCCTCGCCCCGGGTGCATAGTGTCTGGGCACAAAGGCTTGCATTTGGCCCGTGAAGGTTTTGTCCCTTTCTTTAATGTCTGGGATCTGATCCGGGAAGTCCCACCCTTGCAGCGTCACCCCCCCATGCTCCCCTATCGGGGAGAGCCCAATCTCCCATTTTCCATCTGCTTTGCGCATAGGGAGAACTACTATGCCGTTCGTAATAGCGAGGGGCAGCTCGAAAAGACCCCGTTCTACGAGTTGTCGCAGCTTGAGATGCTAGAGGTCATCCCTTTCCCCCCCTCCTCTCCTTGTGTAGCCCCCCTTGCACCAGGTGCAGGGGTGGAGGGGTGTTGAAAATGCGCGTGTTCCGGGGCGGGTGGAGGGCGAAATCGGCTACGGGCGATGGCCAAAATTCTTTGGAAGCTCTCTGCCCATGTCAAATGGGCCGGGTGGCCGGCTGTCAGCGTCGCTCTGAGTGTTGGACTGTTATTTAAGAGGGTTACCAGTTCCACGTATGACGCGTCCCAGTATTCGACCCCTCCCGTCGCCCCTTCCTTAGCGGTCTCCGACCGTAGATGTTTAATAATCCATTCCGTGATTATCTGGATCTTCTGATCCAGGTCCATTTCCTGAGGGGGGGCGTCCGGGTCCGTTTGGCTATCCATCATTTCAACGTATGGCGGAGGAGGGGAGAAGGTATCTATATCCATTTGCCGAGCCCCGAAGGCGTCTGAAAAGAAATCCGACGTATGATGTTTGTGTTCGGCCTGCGTGTGTGGCGGGCTATTCTTTTCTAAATTATGTTGCCTTGCCTGTTGTTGTGATGTCGGTGCCGATTGCTGTGACTGCTTCGCCCTTGCCTGCTGTTTCAATCGTAATTGCTGCTCCGACTGTCCGTTTACAGACCGCTCAGTTTTCTGCACCTGGTGTGGCTGTTGTGGCTGATGTGATTGTTGTGTCACTTCCTCTTGCCGTCCATGCAAGGGTTGTTCTGATTGCTGCACCTGGTGCGTCTGCTGTGACCGTTGTGTCAACCCCCTATGTGTTAATTCTGTGTGGTTTATCTGTTCCGGGGGAGGTGGTGCGTGGTGTGGCTGTATCCGTTGTGACTCTTGTTGTGCCTGTTGAAGTTGTCCCGCCTGTTCTGTCTGGCGCTGTTGGAGGGGAGTGCGTGGTGGATCTGATTCTTGGGCTCACCCGACCGTGGCCTGTTGTCTTAGTTATTTCCCCAGTTCCCACGATCTCAAAATTGAATAAATCGTCTGCTGAAGGTTTAGGTCCTTGTGTGAGTACCTTGACAGGCAATCAATCTAGTGATGCCGCACTGCCACGTGGATTCTCAAGTTTTGGGCATGCTATTGATGTTGAGAACGAATTCAGCCGTGGCTTGCTGTCCACGTATACGCCTGCCGCCTGCTTAACACGTGGACAGTATAACATATGACCCGGAATGAGATCGGCTTCACGAGAGAAGGTTAACAACAGTCCTATTTTTCATCACCACTTCCGGACACGATCACCACTTCAGGATGCCGCCTGCCTAAACAGGTGGTTTTCAGGGTCTTCGGACCTTTCACCACTTCAGGACACCCTTCGCCTCTTCATGATGCAACCTGCCTAAACAGGTGGTTTTCAGGGTCTTCGGACTTTTCACCACTTCAGGACCATTCAGGTCTGAAAATCCTGAATGGTCTTGAAGTGGTGAAAGCTCCGAAGACCTTGAAAACCACCTGTTTAGGCAGGCTGCATCCTGAAGTGGTGAAGGGTGGTTTTCATGGTCTTCAGAACTTTCACCACTCCAGGACCATTCAGGATTTTCAGACTCCCAGAACTCTCACTTGACCACTTCAGGACACCCTTCACCACTTCAGGATGCAACCTGCCTAAACAAGTGGTTTTCAGGGTCTTCGAGCCTTTCACCACTTCTGGACCATTCAGGATTTTCAGACTGCCCAAAACTCTCACTTCATAATTTTCATTCCTGAATTTTCAGCTACCCGATAACCACTTGTGGGCTTCACGTATCAAGTCCGCTGTTACATCAACCTCGGAGATCGGATGATGAAGTTGTCTTACTGAGGCATGTTTCTTAGGAGGGGGACGAAGTCAGTTTCTGAGTCACACTGCTGCTCCTACCATCCCTCCCCCTGCTCGACGGCTCATGTTCTCCTTTGTTGACAATGTTGGGTGTCGTCTCTGTTTCGGGAAAACGGCTTGCAGGGATGCTGCAGAGATGGAGGATTTTCTGGAAGCAGTCGACCGGGCTCTTTATGGTGTTGGGGGGAAAAAGGATTGGCGCAAGGGTGTGAAGAGGCAGCTGGATAAGTGGCTTGGGATGGATTCCGTGTCGAATTTCACTGACTCGAAGGACAACATCTCACGGCAGAAGCAGCTGCCCTGGAACAGAAATCAAGGACCAGGAATCAATGTTGCAACCACACAATAAAATGTGGCAATTTTTTGGCCTGTGTGTGTGTGTGTGTGTGTGTGTGTGTGTGTGTGTGTGTGTGTGTGAAAGCATACCTGACCCTGTGTGTGTGTCTGTGAAAGCATACCTGACCTTTTCACTGCTGTGAGTCGACAAGGCTCTTGTCATTAAGCCTGTGGCATTTCTGTTGTTTCTGCCTTGGTGTCCAGTTTCGAGCCACGCAGGCACACAAAGGGTCCTGTAGAAGTGTGCATTCAC